CTTTGAACCAGACCCAGTACGAAAGGATTCCCAACCGTCATACTTGGCAAACACTTATCATCCATTGTGCGGTCAGTTTTGGAACATTCGTGTTCCGCCTCTCATTTGAAGCTCGCTGTGTGAACATGACTAGGTCTTTCCCTTTCACCCATTCTGTATTGTTTCCCGGACCATGCTAAATGTGCTACAATGTCGCGCGGCAAGGGGATAGAAGTTAAAAGAGACATGTTTGTCAAATATCCTTCGTCGTCTGTTGAAAAACAAAATAGGAATAGGCAAAGTCAGTTCTTCTTCAAGACGGGGAGCAATAATGAAAAACAACAAATACCAAACCGAGATCGAACTTTTCACTTGCATCACAAGTTGGGCGTTGGTAGGCGTGAAACTTCGGTTGTGTAGTCAACGCCCATCAGACCTCAGAGCTCACTTTTCTAGGAACTATGATGGGGGCAGAGAGGCGGTTATGCCATTTTAAATCCCAGATACAATACACCCACAATGGTTTTCATTTTTGAAATACACTTGTAGACTGTGGAGGATTGAACTGGTTCTGACATAAGTCGATTGTGTTTGTCTTGAGGAGAGTTACAGATATTTCACGGATTGACAGCAGCCTACCCGAATAAAGCGAACAATAGAGAAGGAGCAGACGAGAGTTAGAAAACCGAAGATAGTCAACGACAGAATCACACCGAAGAGAAGATGAATTATCAAACGATCCGTGAAAAAAGAACCACTTGTTTGGGGAAAGGGTTACCGTTGTGAGTTGAGATCGTTTGCGACCGATAGCGTACGATGTAACCATCAAAGGCCAATGAAAACCAGTACATGCGACATGAAAACAAAAGGTAAGGCGTGTGTGCGTACGAGCGCGTGCAATACACCATAACTTTGTGCACGATCAATCAGGTGCTCAGGTAGGTCCTCGTAGTTGCAAACCAAATGTATTTCTGAACCTGTTGTTGTGAGGTACTACCCACATTTAGAAGTAGTATACAAAATACTGCGGTTGGTGGTTTCCTTTAACGATCAAGAATCAACAAGACTACCGAGGTCAAATTGCTGTATCTCAAAGAATAAACACCGACTGTTCCATTCATTACGCGGTGTGTTACCGGGAACTGCGATGATATGTTTTAAATGAGATTTCTGTTATATGTATGCTAAGATACTGATATTCTAACCGTAATCTGCAATAAACAACTTCCCTCGACCGAGCGCCACCTTGTGCATAATTTGCTACAAACGTGAACTCAGCTGTTTGTGTGTTGCAGTCAGAAGAACACCTGGTCTTGGGTTGAACAAATCACGAAGTTTGACAGCAAAAGAAACGTGTCTGACGGCTTCAACCCAGATTTCCCTTCCATTCCTGAGCGAGCAACTCGGTGATGACAACGTGCGCTCTTTCCTAGTGTCTGCATGTGAATCCTGACACACAAACACACACACCATATCCATAAAGTCGCTCTGTTTACATAATCCTGAGCCCATCAAGAAAGTTTGAACATCTGTCGATTTTACTTGGCCCAAGATAGATGCATGTCACTGAAAATGTAGCCATATCGTTGAACAACTATGATCATCGGTACCGAAGGGGATACTGATTCGTAAACACATGGGTAAATCAACACAACAACAGCAACATGTGCACAACATACCAGAGAGATAGACATACACAAACGACTATGCAATGAAACATGCCGATGGGTGTACAACGAAATCCACCTTACATCACCCATATCAGTCCAAAAGTACCACACAAGACAAGTTTGATTATGTATGAAAGGTTACCCTATTCTGAAACCGTCGCGAATCAGGTCTGGAACGCTCGTAATGTCGCAACGATCTCAGCGGTACCGAACCAGATGGTAGTTTGGTTCAAACTAATATCCAGGATGATCGTATCCGATACGGGTAATGCACAGGGTAAGTAAGTGTGCGGAACACCAGTGATTGTGTTTCATGCACTATCGGGTCAAACAGATGTAGTGGTACCCCCTGAACAAGCATCGTAATGATGCATGCAACCACAGATTGACATAATTTGTGTACTTTGTGAAGGACCACCTACATTCTTTCATGCATGCCGGTATGGAAACCGAAGGTGGTGATGCGGGTGTAATTTGATGTTAAGGTAAATAAAGCGCTTTGCAATGGTACCTAGGTGTGTGTGTGTGTGTGCGCACTTCATCGCATGCATAAGAAAAAATCGGAACAGAACCATCCAGGGGTTAGATGTGTTCTATACTCGAGGTCAGTTGATTGCCAACGGGTCGCCGGAAAACGAGAAGACACGGTAAACTACGGCGTTACCAGGTGTCAAGAGAGGAGATAGAAAAAGACCAGGGGGGAACATGAGGCGGGTAGAAGATCAGTTCAGATGGTCAATGAATCATTTGGATCCGTATGCCAAATAGTCAATGATCTACATTTACCTGTGCATAGAACCACATTCGTGTACCTATCGTATGTAATGATTATGAATGATAGATGACCAGAACACATTGTCAGTTACGCATTGACTTCTATTCTCAGAGCACCGGGTGACTGGTTATCCACGTGATCAACAGCACTAGGATGCTGTAAATGTGATATGATGCAAGAAGGTATTAGATACCTGACGGAATGTATGTGTGTATGAAACAGCATTCCACCCCTATGGCTTCTTGCATCACCACCACCACCACACACAGAAAGAGATTGTAAAAAATCAATTATTTGTAACCTTTTTCTATGAGGATTTTAGCGTATAAGCTCTATAGTAGCATCTAACAAAAGTCACTAGCTATTACACTCAAAATACGCACACACAAGGTGTTCGTTGCAAACAGTTCAGGGTTAGCGTCAAAACATAAGAAGAGTAATGACTTTTTATTGCCTTCACCGACATGATAATGAGAGT